TTATAACAAGCACTGATGTTTACTGGAAAGGTTCAGAAAACTTAGGCTCAGATTTATAGTGTCATTTGACAAAAATGTGATGGTTTTTGAAGAGTAGTGCCTTGTAAATGCAGAGGTAGCTGCAGACATCTGTTAGCTAACCAATGCTGAGGTGCATCTCCTCTGCAATCCCATCCTACCAGGCAATGATCTGGAAAACCTCAAAGCGTAACATATTAAGTTCAAGAAAGCATTTCAGGGATTCTGACTTCTCTCCCTTATCATCTGTAGCACATGTTTACCATTTATGGCTCATCACCAGCACATACAATCACTTATATTCCAAACGTTCAAGGAGCTTTGTAGCTGAGGAAGAAAGCGCGTTAATATTCTGAACTACCTGGAGACATCCAAACTTGGAAAGGTTCATGACTTTGTGCTGCAATGCTTGGATGCCTTTGACACACTGTGCTAACCTAAGTCCCTCCTAACAAGTGCAGCTTGCATACATAAAGCAACAGATTCAGCTGTGCAGTGCTGTTTGCCCAGCCTTCCAGCAGCACAGCATCTTCAAACACCACTGCAGACATCAGACCGTGTCTGCCGAGGAGGAGGTTGGTGTTTGTCAGCGAGGCTCGACTTAATGATGCACAATTCGCCAACGCCTGCATTTAATTAACTTTTCTTGGTTGGCCTCACAGAGTTGTTTTCTGCTATCTGATCGTGTCTGTGTGAACCCTGTTGTGATTTCATGAGGGAAGGAGGCCTGCAGCCACAGCTCTCATAAACAAAACCGCCCTGGTTTATAAAGGCTCTGTTGATAGGAACAAAGATATCATGGTGTCCAGGAACAGATAAAACACAGCACAAAGCTGCTTTCTGGAGCTAAATATCTGGAGAGTAAACCTAAAGGAAAGAATGACACTCTTCTAAATGAGCAGTTCAAACTGTTCAATAAAGGGAGGAAAGAGGCCAATAAGAGAAGATTATTTTCAAATTAATGCTTTTATCTATACCACATGGTGTCTTTCCCAGTGGCACTGCTAGAAATTCAATAACATGATTTCACAAGAAAGGATAGAAACTTGTCTTTGTTTAGCTGCTTTCAGGAGCCAGTTTGTTTAAACATTCCAACAAGGAAGATACACAAGCTGATGTTTTACATGAGCTGCTTTACTATCACTTAAAATGCAAAACATAATATGACATATTCCCACTTATCCAGTTATACTACATTTAATATATAAAAACAAGGACTGTTCAAGAGTAAGTGAAGGATTTCTGCCTTGGAGATCACCTAAAAATTCTTTCTTGATGTTTTTTTTCTTTCCTTTTCATACAAACACATTCTAGGCATAATTGTCAAGAAAAAAATACAAACACAGGCAAACTCTTTTGCTTAAACTTCTAACCCAGATACCAAATCCTACATGAACACGTGAATGCCATATCCCTCTTTAGCCCCAGCTGGATCACTGCACACACCCTCATTGCAAACACTATTCCTTATATTATTATTTTCCTTCTATATATCTCGCTTAATTAAGATGTTATTTGTTTCCTGTGCTACCTGCAACAGCTTCTCAGCATTTATTGGGGAGTAAGCATTTCCAAACTTATAGTGTGTCAAATTTTCTACTAGGGTCTGCAGCTCACAAGCATATTGACCTTTCATATCAAGTTTTTTTAGCTGTAAGCTTTCAAGCTTCAAGCATTTTAGATGGGTGAAAATGTCAGTTCCTCCAACTGTAATACAGAGGTAATGATGTACCAAAAGATAAATAAATGACATCTAAATCATTTTACCTCTCAAAATGCAAAACAAAATATGACATATTCCCACTTATCCAGTTAAACTACATTTAATATATGAATACAAGGACTGGTCAAGAGTAAGTGAAGGATTTCTGTCTTAAAGATCCCCTAAAAATCACCAGAACTCTCAAAGTTCTGGCTTTGCAAAGGAAGGGTCCAGGAAAACTAACTCAGGTTTTTTTTTCTTTTTGGCTTATCCTTATGCCATTAAAATAAACATAAAACAATTTGTTCCTTTTTAACCACTTGATGAGTCAGTGCAGCTCAGAAAACTGATAAAAGGTTTGTGGAAATAAATTAATATTGCATGAATGCTGCTGGAGCTATTAAACAAACATAAGTGAGAACCCATCACTGAAGCCATAAAACACCTTTATATCATGAGGAAAGGAGCAGAAAAGTCAACAACCATTATTACAGCATGTACTTTGCCCTGTGAAAATGGCGTGTGACCTAAACAGATGCAAGCAATTATCTCTGATGTAAACAGTTATGCTGCTTATCTCAGATATTACAACTGGATTACATTGCTTTTAAGAATAAAAAAAATTCTTTTAACACCAATTTTTTTACTCATAATGTCCTAGTTAGGGCAGCCAAGACCAGTTCATCACTGTGTGGGTGTAACCCAAACTGTATATTCTACACCCTCTGTGTCATTTCCCAGGAACTGTTAACAGCAGGCCATTTGCAGTAGCTGCCCAGAGCACACCTGACCCCTCAGGCTATAGGCTGAGTGTTGGGAAGCCTGTGAGATAGGAGGATGTTCCTGTCCTCACACCAAAGACTCAGGTGTGATGACTCTCCCCCGAGGAGTCATTAACACCTCCACACCCAGCCTGAGGGGTCATGTCTGCTAACGGGCCACCAAGGATTCCACAACTCTCTCACAACTCACAATCACCCACTGTGGAACTCCCAGCCCTGGGGGAGGTACTGGGTATTCCCACTCCTGAGTCTTGGGACTTCTGGGCCCACTCGTTGGATCCAGAGGAGGAGCAGAACCTCGACTGGACGGTGACCACCACCCTCGACCAGAGTGTGAGCAGCACTGGCACCAACAGGTCCTCCTTTCCTTTTACTTTGGACTCGTGGGGACCACGTGGGGATCAGCACAGGGGCCAACAAACACCATTCTTTCTGTTCATGCCCCAGGGTGCTAGGTTATACACCTGGGGGTTGTGGGTTAAAACCAATTGTTTGTCTGTATAATTGTATTTATTGTATTATTTTTATTAAATTGTAACTCTGATTTATAATCTCTTTTGAGTTGGATTCATTTCTCCTGCCAGTTTACCTTTAAACCAGCACACATGCAAATGAACATTTATCAAAACCTTTCAGTCACAATCTCCCTTCAGAAGAAACAAGAAGGGAATAACAGTACTTTATTTTTCTAAGCTATGAAACAGCTCAGTTATTGGTGTTTTGGTTATGCTTTTACAAGTCTGATACATGAAATGTACTTGGAATCTCCAGCTGAGGACATGATGTGAGACAGCAAATACTGTGACTTCTGCCCTCAGTAGGCAAACCCAGTTTTAGTTTTGAAAACACAGTAAGTTCAATTGCCTCTGCTGGAGGCAGAGAATCAGATGAAAATGCTCAGCCTTCCTGCAGGAGTCAGGAGCAGATCTGCAGATCACAGGCACTTCTAGGATGCTACTGAAGAGTCGCTGCTGTTTCTTTCCCACTTTCCCACTGTACTTCAGAAATATGAACTCGTGTGACAACAAAGGAGGCAAAGCTTTTCATGACCTTGGAACACAGTGACCTCCAGACACTTCAATTCCTGAGCTTTCAATCCAGCAAAGCACTCACACTTGAACATATCAGGATTTCTGAAAAACTTCAGAGGTACAGTTGAGTCAGCAGCAGCTCGGACAGGAAAAACATGAAGGCCTGCTCAGGAGCAAGTGGCCCTGCTTCCTTTCTGGTACATATAAAAAAGCAAATCCTGATGGTATTTTAGTGCTTCCAAGTATGATCTTCCAAAGATCCTGTTCATTTTCTCAAAAATTGTGTATTTTCACTTGCATCAAGGACAGCATTTAAAATCCACTCTAGACAACATTTGTCCAGTTACAGCAATAAAAAAGTGAAATACTATGCAGTTACCTTAAACACATTGACTGAATCCCTGCAAGTGTTTTTTTTTTAAAACAAGATCAGACATTAGGAAATATTATTGATCAACTGGTTTATTCATTACAGATATTTCTTTAAGCTAGTTATGCCAAAATAAGAGTAGGTCTACAGAAAAGGTCCATTCAAATTCAAATACGATGACATAATTTAATTTTGCATGCTAAGGAGTGTCAAATTAAGACTTTAGAAACTGTATCTTCAACTAAGAAAACAGGTAGAGCAAGAAGTAGGAAATAACATTTGTAGGAACAGCAAAGTCTTCAATAGAGAGATCAGTTAAAGTACAGAAATTACTATAACCTGTTGCATAAATTCCCTATTATGCACTGGCTGCCAGATATAACAGTGGCCTATCATAAAACCTGATTAAATATGCTTGCATTGGGAAAGACTACAGTGAGGCACTTGAAAATACTGGCAGTCAGCAAAATGCACCACTGTAGAAATCTGTCCCCACCCTTTCTGGTGTCAGTCATGGAAATCCTCAATACAGAATTTTTACGAATTGGCATTTTTCTGATTATTAATAGACCTGTATTACTGCTTCTGGGTTTGATGGAAAACAAAACTACTTCATCATACCACACACTCACAAAAAAATTTCATATAGAATACTTAATATAAAAAAAATTAAACCCCTTAATTGCAGATCTACATATTTTAAAACAGTTCAAAGCTCTCCCTCTAACTCTGTCCTTCATCGGGAATTAAATTACTCAGCATCATCCCCTAAGAAGAGGAACAACCTGAAGGTAACAAAACAGTTATTTTCACCCATATTAAAGCAAACTAAACATTAGCATATTTCAGAGTGTTTAATTTAGTCACAGTCTATTTCACAAAAAAGAAGATGAGGTTGTTCAAGGTTGAGAGAATATTTATATATTTTTTAAATCTATTAAATTTCCCCTGACTGCTGACCAGAAGAATCATACCTGATATCTTTTTTTTTCCTTCTTCTCCTTCTCATTCATACATAAATTTGGTTTATTGAATCAGCCACATACCAACTGGAATGGAGGACAGACTAATCAGCAAACAAAATATTGAAGACTTACCATTTACACAGATTTCAAAAGATTTGCAAAGGTCATCTTCAAACAGGCAGCCTAAAAACACAATAGAAAAGTAAAAATTAACACAGGTTTCAAACTATGGAAATTAGTGCAGACTGATTAAATTAGACCTACTAAATGCTCAGCAAGAGTCAGACATTTGGTTGGCCTTGGGAGTCTAAATTGGGCAGTACAGAAAGTCCAGAACAGGTCTGACAAAACAGCACTTACTAACTGGCTATATCCAGAACAACCTTTAATGTTGCTCTTCCCCTCATTTCCCTACTGAGGGTTCAGTTTTCTCCATTCTTGTCTCTCTCTTTTATTTGAGGAACTTTATGTTCTCTTAATTTTGAATACATTGTTATACCACAGCACAGTAATGCTTCAATACAGTACAAAAACAAACTGCAAGAAACCATAAACTTCCTAAGGACATTGCTACTGAGGTGAGACAAGCCTAGAAATCAGGTATAAATTGATCCAATTAGGCTTGAATTTAGGAACTCCAACCACTGACCATGCCTAGGATGCTCAGGAGCATTAACACCTTGGAGAAAAGCTTAAAAATTAAGCAATCCCTACCTCACAGACTGCTGCAAAAATCAGTACAGGTCTGTGAAAAACATCCTAGGATTTTTTCCACTTAAAGTAGGAATTTTTTTCCAAAACAAGCTGCTTTATGGGCCCTGCTGCCCCAGCTCCACACCTCGCCCTACAAACTGCGTCCAGCTCGGCAAGCCCAGCTCGTTCACTTACACACATCTGCACAGGTGAACTATCCTGTTCCCCTGGTGCTTGGTGTCACCTAACCAGGTACTGAGACACTTAGTGGTTATCCCTTTGACCCTTAAACAAAATGTGCTCCTGCTGATATTTGTGAGGACAGCACAAAAGTGGGCAAGGTATGTCTCTGCTCTGGTCACTCCACATGGGGCACAGGGACAAGGACTAAGTACAGCAGCAGCATGAAATATTCTGCTATTCTGAAGGGCACACACTTGGTTGACACAATCAGCAGTTTCTTTATTTTCTGACAAAGATAAAGAGCTAAGACTGGATAAAATCCATGGAATAAAGCTGCATTTTGAACACAGAAACTGCCCTAGAGAATACATTTTCACAATTAAGCCTTTTAACTTCTCTGAAAAATATCTGTAATTTATAAAGTGTTATAGATATAAAACAATCTTGAACTGTTTCACACTTTGCATAAAAAAAAAAACAGCCAGGAGCTTCACCACATCTAAACAGCCAGGAGCTTCACCACATCTAAACACATGAGCAAATCCTCTCTCCACAGCTGTCCTACCTCCATGAGAGCACAGAGTACATCAGAGAGTCAAATGGATTAAGTAAGCTGCTCTTATGAAAAGAACTGAAAGGCTCAATACTCTGACTGTGAATTACCTAGCTCCTAATCCTGCTGAAAGAAAATTTGGGAGAGGATAGAGTGATTTATGTATGCCTACATAGCCTTTCAGCAGGTAACTGTATTAGCACGTCATTAAGCCTGAACTAATAAGCTGTGTCTCAGCAGGATTGATTAGCACAGTGCTAGGTCTGAGCTAGGCAAGCCCAGCTGCAGGAATTCAAGACATATTGGAGCACCAGCAGAGTCCCTCACATTTACATCACACCTGCCTGCAAAGACCACAAACACATAACCTGAAGCAGATTTACAATATTAACACCAATAAAAGAATTCTCTCATCCTTTTACCCATACCCCATAAACTGTGGATATACATTTGGTACCTTTTGAAAGGGAAGTTTCAGACAACGAAAGCTTCTGCAAGCAGAGTTTGGCAGAATGGAATGTGCCTACACAGTACACAAACTGTGGTTTCTAACATGGTTTCGAGACATGTATGACTTTGCTCCAGACAAATCTACTGTGCCAACCATTTGGCCTGAAACAGTGTCCAAAAACTCCTGAAGATATCTGATTGCAGCCCTGGTACTGACTGACCCAGCAAAGCAGAAGGATGCCTTCACTGTACATTGACTCCTAAAGAGCATCAGACGAGAATGACAGGCAGTGACCAAAACACCTCATCACAGAGTACAGCACACAGTCTAACTAAAAGCATAGTTAAGATCACTTAAAAAAAAGTGGAATGGTTGCAGAAAAATAATAAAAGAACATAAAAGACTTCAAGCATTAATATACCCTGGACAAATGAAAGTTATACTTCAGTGCTCCTGTTGTCAGAAATCTGAATTTATCTCTTCTAAAGAAAAGTTTTTATGATTAGGAAAAAATCCCTGGTTAAATCTCTCTTCCTTGTTTTCCCAAGAGATTACAAAGAAGTTAAAGCAGAAGCCTGAAATATGTGTGTCCAGTGCTGCAGAATTTGTCCTGTGATGAAGGGAAGACAGTTTTGTAATTGATTTCTCATCCTGCAGTGCTGTAGATCCAAAAGGTGTCAGATGACAAATTTCAGCCAGGAATATTTCTAGTGGAGTGGTTCATTAGAGCAGTGACTGGTTCACCCAGACTCTGCTAATTTTGAAGAACCTGGGAGCTGGGATTACAGCCACCTGCTGCCTGCAGCCACCTGCCTGAGGTAGGCCATCCCATAATATACTGATAGTCTCAGAACAGAAAAATACAGATGCAGGATTAACAAAATAAGCCTGTTTAGGTACAAAGAAATAAACAGCCAAGCTACCTCTATACAGAACTCTGATTTAGCTTTATTGACTAATATGTTTTCCATGAAAAGCACAACAGAAAACTGATTTTATCATGTTTTAGGTTCTCTTTTAATAAGAGTTGTCTATTTGATTTGCAGCAAGGCATCTGATACAATTAGACTTGTAAACCTTTGTTCTCCTTGTCTTGGAGAGCAAATTAATAAAGTCAATGGATGGCAAACTGTATCCATGTATGATTACTCTAAAATAGACAAGGAACTCCAAAACTCCTTGAAAAATATTTTGTTTCAAGTTATTTATTGCTGGAGTTGCTTATTATGCATATTTCACCCAACTAGTCAATATGCTAATTTAGCTACTAATTTATCTCTTGTTTTTATTTGCTGTGACAATGAGAAGCATCATATTTCATTTTAAATATCATCTCCCTATTAATAGTAATGGTGATAATAAGTCACCACTGAAGAGTGAAGTGTTATAGTCTCCAAAATACATTTAATTCAGTTCACGCCTTATGGGAACAAATCTACACTGCATTTTCTATCAAAATCTCCCTGTCACAGATCATCTCCCAATACACATAAACTGTTGATCCAATACTTTCAAACCCCCTGCCCTCCCCCAAAAAATAAACCAACAGAAACTCCAACAACACACCAAACCCAAATCCCCAATCTCACTTGACACAGCAGCCCTGAAAAGACAAGTTCTCTGTATAATTATCCAACAGACATTGCTTTGCTAAATGTTGAATTCAAAGAGGTTTCTCACTTAACTTGCATTGAAGATTCACCTCTTCACTAATATTTGCATGATCCCCACATCTGAGTAGTGACAAAGCAGGTCAAAATATTGTATCTTACAATACATTTACATGGGACATTATTAAATATCCAAAAAGAGATTCCATAGGGCCTTGAAAAATTTTCAGCCTCCCTTTTCTCTCCCTCTACCTGGTTCTCAGACAGGCAGCACAACATAATCAGAAAACACTGTTGCAAGTACAGGAGCTAAAAGTTTAAATCTCTTTGTCAAGTTATTCTTCTTGTAAGACACTAATAAAACTACTCCCTTACTTCTTTTCATCAGGCATACTGCAGTTCTGCTTTCCTGAACAAAAAATAGGAAAGTTTAAATCGTACTGGAATATACTGCTTGTTTGGATTTATAAGAGGTGCCTCTGAAGGTTAGGACAGTCAAGGCACCAGATGAAATCACTTGAACTTCATCTAGAAGAAGCTGTAAAAATTCTCTTATCAAGAAAATATTTTTTTAAAACTTGACTAATCTTTCAAATAGATTATATTATGTTTATTTCTCTGCCCTTTCCTCCAGTTAACCAATTCAGGATGATTTTACACTAAATGTCTCTTCCAAGAATGCCAAAAAGTCTGTAAGCATTTTTCTAAATTAAAATTAAAAAGTAAGTCATAGCCCCTCTTTATCAACAATCACCAAAATAAGGAAACTAACAATAGGCAAGAACTTATCAACTTTTCAATCAGGAGCTGGGAAAATACAAACCTTCTGAATATATTCTGTTGTTGAGAGTTCTCTGCCTCTCCTTTCATTCTCTTCCTTCAGCTCTCATGTGAGCACTTAACATCTCCTCACATTTGAAGACCATAACAACCTCACTCCATCACAAAATTTTAGCCAGTGTCTGTGTCTTTAATTAAAAGCTGATGATCATTAACATTTTTAATAGTCCAGAATGAAAGTTCACTCACATTTATCTGCTTCTTTCAGATTTGGTTGTAGGCAAGGTAAGGAGACCTTGAAGGGTGAGAAGAGCTGAACACTGCTCCTGAGGGAAAGGGACAAGGAAACACCTGGGCATGACAATGCTGGGCACAGGCTGGGCCTTGTTGGGTCTTTGGTCCCAGCTGTGAATGACTCTTGATAGTGACCACGTTTATTTCCCTATAATGGGATCAAGAAATAAAGTCCAAGAATTGCATTTTAAAAGCGCTCAACTCACAAAACTGGGACAGCTCTAACTGAAAAAAATACAAGATAGTGCAAAACAACAATAACAAATGATAATCTGAACTCCTTGGTAGCAAGAATCAAACAAGGTTTCATGCAGAAAACTGATGGGAGAAGTCATCAGGTTGAGAGAGACATTCCTCTCACTAATAGAGGTGTGAGATAAATTTGCTCAGTCTGCTAAAGCTGTGATCTATCCAACACATCCTCAGCTGTCTGCCATACATGTGTGCTTAACACATCTAGAATTACACAAAATTGCAAGAATGGATGGGGAAAATGTACTTTAAGCTGATCACAGGTTCTAAGCAGAGTTCCTCTCAGTTTCCCGAACTCTGGGGTTACACGGGTGAGTAGGTGTGCACACATGTGCAATGGGAGTATATATTCATTATGCAAAATCTATCAATTGCATGTCAAAATGCTACCGTTGCTTTATTTAGTTTCATTTTGACATTCACTGTGATAAAAAATTTGGATATTCCCCAGGCCCCATCTTTTAAATCTCCCTTCTTAGCCCCTTTCTCCTTTGCTCTTTTGTTCTGTTCCAAACTCTGTGGTGGTTTATCAACAACTGCTTGGAATAGTAATTTAACAATGAAAAAAAGTAAATCAGTGTGGTCAAAAAT